CCTCCGGAACGTCGGTTGAGTTTCAAACTGACTATACCGTGTTATATTCCAGATGATAAAATTCCTCGTAACTACGGCAGTAAAAATTTAAAATTAACTCTGTTCTTAACTAATTAAGCACTACGCTATAAAACATATGGGGGAGTGAATGTATTTTTTTTTTTTGTGGCGCTACAGCCCCAATTTGGGCTTAGGCCTACCTCCATGAAACTCTCCGTTTCACATCCGTTTACTAGATCTTACACATTCGGTAGGACTCCTTGGACGAGTGATCAGCTAGTCGCAAGGCCTCTACCTGTAGACAAACACAGAAAAACGCACACAAACATCCATGCCCTGAGTGGGATTCGAACCCACGAGCGAGCGAAGACAGTGCATGCCTTAGACCGCTCGGCTACCGTGACCGGCAGTGTATAAGAATAATATATAAGAATTCAGTTCGTACCTCACAGGAAACAGATCCGAACCCACGATCCCGGCTTCCGAGCGAGCGAAGACAGTGCATGCCTTAGACCGCTCGGCTACCTTGACCGGCGGAGTGAATATATAGATATATGTATTCTTGACCTCGACATTAGTTGGATGTGGGTGGTCAGTTTCACGCCACGGCCGCTTCACCCCCGGTACACTGGATAGGAGACTGAGTGGGCCCCGGAACCGGTCTGGACGACGTGGAAAAGATAAAAGTCTTGACCTTCTAGCCCGTAGGCAGTCACTATACCGACTGAGCTACCCCGGCTCATAAAACCACCGCATTGAGAACCTGAAATCCTGTTTCTTTCTTAGTGTACAAGTGAAAACAGATGAGGACGGTATGGACAGGGTCAAGAGCGATACTGAACACATGCTTCTGGTACTGTCCCATACGTAGGCTACTGGGTCGAGATATTCAAACCGTTCCGCTTGGATCCGCGCGCACATAATACGCTCAAGAAATGCATGACACATGGCGGGCGGCAACCAGCCCGTAACGTAAACACGGTGACTTATTAGAAAGAAAGCCTTTGGGCTCTTTCGGCTAATAAAACAAACGACTAAATGATCCTTCCCTCCAAAAAATACTAATTACGAGGTCAACACATTCAATCTACTTCCTAACTAACACAGCTGCATACTTACAGGCAAGTAGGCCCTTAAAAGTATTGTAAGCAATACGTAAGGGGCACGCGGTAGCGTAGTTGGTTGAGGCACTATCCTACAAGCCGGAAGGTCGCGGAATCGAATCCCGATGTGGTGGAATTTTTCAACTTACCTAATCCTTCCAGCCGCACTATGGCCCTGGGGTTGACTCAGCCTCTAACAGAAATGAGTACAAGGAATATTCTTGGGGGTAAAGGGCGCCCGGCGAGTAAGGCTGACCTTACCCCCATCTATGAGCCGACTGTCTAGAAAATGTGGAAGCCTCAACAACTCACAATCCTATGGGCCTCCACGGCCTGTTACAGGGATAGCGTTACTTACTTTACCTTAATTTACTCTTGCAAAAAATACGAAATAGTTAAAATTTTCACAGCTGTAACTATGACCACTTTCTGGGACCTGTAGACAAGTAGAAGTTTAGTAAAGTTACGTAGTGACATATCGACTCCATCTTCAGGTTTGATATAGCTATCACAAAACAACGAAATTGCCTGGAAAACGTGACTCTTGAAACCCCCCAACAACTGAGTTATTATTGTCTTGAGTCACTGAAATATCCCTGTATGACTCCAGAAACCCAGGATAATGAGCTCGCCGGGGTCCTGAATCGCTGCATGATAACACCAGAAATGAATGACGCTTGAAACTGAGTACAGTGAGCTTGTTCAGATCCTGAGTCGCCACTTGCTACTGCCTGTAGTACATGACTATGTTTTCAATGTATTTATCACTGTGACACTAAGTAAGCTATCCCTGTAATAGCTCAAGCGGTTAGTCGCTGGCTTCCCATCGCGGCGGCCCGGGTTCGATCCCGGGTCTGGTCAAGTGGGATTTATGGTGGACAAAGTGGCGATGGGGCAAGTTTTCTCCGAGTACTTCGGTTTCCCCTGCCAATCTTCATTCCACCAATTGCTCCACAATCACCCTTACCTATCATCTGGGGCTGGTACAATAGGCCAGAAGTGGCCGCAGTACAAGGGACTTAGTTTCACCCCATTAGCATTTAAAAAAAAAAGCTATCCCTGAAACAGGCCATGGAGGCCCATAGGGTTGTGAGACGTTGAGCGTCCCACATTATCTAAACAACCGGCTCACAGATGGCGGTGAGGTTGTCAGCCTAAGGTGCCCGCCGTCCTTCACCCCCCGGAAGATTCGTGGTACTCATTTCTGTTAGATGTTGAATCGACCCCAGGGCCACAGACAACGCTAGGTACTTTCAGTTTATGATCAGTCGCTGTCCATAAAGCGGATGAACACAAACAAGCGAGCATCGGTAAAATCACAAATCATCCATCCGTTCTCCTTAAATTTCAAGCAGTATTTCACCCCATCTTCCCATCAATCAATTTTTGTATCCTTTTTCGGTTCCTTCCTCCGTCCACCCATCCACTCTCTCATTCATCTATCCGTTTCTCCATCCATTTATTCATTCACTGGACCATAATTCATATATTCACTCCACCTCCCTTCTCATCCATCAATTAGTTGGCATTTGCTTGGAGGGACTGAGGAAATCCACGGAACCTGAATCAATATAGCCAGTGTCACGGCAGAGATGCAACCCAACTCTGCTCGAATGCGATGCCGTTATGCTAAGCTCTTCGGCCCGAGAATGTAATGTAACTACTTTGGCAAACGTAAAAGTGGAAAGTTTAATGGTGTGTTTAATTACCGCGCTAAGATGGACTGTAGAAGGTATTAACCCTTTAAAGACTGAGTCACAGTCAAAGTTACTTTACCACTGGCGGTTTTCCGCCAATCAGTTCGTCTTGGTATCAAGCCCCTTGAGAATCACGACCAGAGACTTTATTTTTCAACTGAACTCTTGCGGTCATAGTCCTTGTGCAACTTCCTCTCTGAAGAGAAGATGGGGTTGTCTCTTATGAATATGCCCCTCTTCGCCTTTCATCAAGTGTGCATATCTCACGTACAGCTCTTTATTGAAAATTCTTCCTTTTGTGCTATATACAGGTCTTCTGTCAATCCAGGCTTTGCAGAGCAGATCATGCCCTTCTTATGCATCACACGCTACAACGGCAGCTTAGTCGTTTTTACGGTCGTAAGCTTGACCACCACCAAGTTTAATCCTCTTGTTGAATTAATTTTAATCCTAATAGATCATATTAAATTGCGACTATAACATGTAATAACAAAAATGGAGTTCTTAGATACCATTACAGTCCATTGGAATTTTGAAACCGCTAAATCACATTTAAAGTTACGTGTAGGGCCTTGGTGAGGGGATAATACCTTTTTATTCATCAAGAGTGTTTCAGACCAAAAGAATTTCAGAACTACTGCATTAACCCATTACTCTTACTTCATAAAGCTGAGCCCTTCTTGAGGAACCGCAAATTGTGCAGATACTCAAGAACTTCCCAGCATTTTATGGAACCCGAAGGTTCATTACAATGTTCACAAGGGCTCTCCACTGGTCCCTACCCTGAGCCAGATCAATCCAATCCATACCATCCCATCCGATCTCTCGAAGATGTATTTTAATATTGTCCGCCCATCTACGCCTTAGTCTTCCCAGTGGTCTCTTTCCTTCTGGCTTTCCAACCAATAATCTATATGCATTCCTCTTCTCCCCATTCGTGCTACATGCCCTGGCCATCTCATCCTCCTTGACTTGATCATTCTAATTATACTTGGAGAAGAGTACAAGTTATGAAGCTCCTCATTATCTGCATTTACCCACAGATAAACAAATAAGAAATGAACAGAATTTCCTGTTAATCCTTCAGAAGTCAAACAAAGGCGATGGAATAGTCCGACACCTTTTTGTAGTGCCCCCCTAAGCTCTAAGGCAAGACACTGTTGTTCAATGTATAAGTTAGTATGTCATGGAGACCACTTCGTATAGTCACGTATGATGACATTCATGAAAATGAAACCAACGTACTTGTGGAGCAACAGTATACTCCTTCAGCAGTGTGAAGAGCAAGGCTGAAGAAGAAGAAGGGTTTGGGGACAAATTAGAACGGAGGGGAAAACACCGTCCAAGAACCTAATCGTAAAGACGCCAATGAAAGAGGGGGTAATGGTAAAAATAAGGTGAACGCTAAAGTGTGTGTAACTGCGATGCAATGAAACACATATACAGATATTCCCTACATAGAGACCAACCCATTGCACGAGGTGGCTTACACGTGAAGGAGAAGGAAGCAGAAACATAACGTACTCACGTACCGACATGACGAACCAGTTCAAGTTTGACCAGCCCATATTTAAAGTTATCTACACGCAGCAGTGACTGTTCTCAAGCCTGACCAACTTCCATCTCTTCCTCCTACTCTCTGCTGATCCGTCTGTACGCCCCTCAACAATTTCCCCCATTTTTTCTTTCTTTTTAAAGAAACGAGGTTTGTGTTCTATCTGCTGTAAACCTATACAAACCAAACTGAAATGACTTAACTAGTAATAATGTTGACATTGTCGTAACATCCCTACCACATCCACTTCCTCCCTCTTTCGTGCTGGCTCTTGTCCACACACGTTTCCTTTCCTTCTTCCACCTCCAGACATACGCTTATCGCTGTCTCTTTTATGCCTTTGTTCTCTTCACCATTCGACACATTTTCTTTCTTTTTCTTTTTAATTGTAGATACCTTGTCGACGCCATCATGGCTACCACCTCCATCGCGACAGAGTTTCTAGGCGTCAATGAAAACTTCTGCCAAGGTATCACAGAAGTTTTGGGTTGGGTTTCTTTTGATGTGGGGGGGAAGCAAATAAAAGGGAACGACATATGACATGAGGGCCACAGTCGATCTTTCGGGTAGCCAGCGAGAAGTACGCAAAGTGGTGATCCGTGGGGGGATTTTCTGGAGTTGTTGCCCAACTTGCGCCGTTACACCATGGGATCCGTCAGCAAGTGGGTGTTGACATTAGCAGTTCTGGGTGTAGCGTTATCATCCGCTTTCCCAGCGGCAGAAGAATACGACGCTAGAGGAAATCAAGATATATCTACTGACAATTCTGAGTCACTCATTGAAGATGGAATCGAGACAGCGTATCGATTCATACAAAGTTGCGGAGATAAAGACATGTCACTTTGTTTAAAGATGAGGGCATTAACATTCGTGGACAGAGCGCTGAGGAGGACAGGTGATGTGGAGGTGTTTGATGGAGTGTCCTTGGTACGAACCCAGGACGGTCTGGACGTTTCTAGAGAAGTGAACGGCCGCGCTTTATCAGAAGCTGAACTAGACGCTAGCCTTCCGAAAAATGCAGATGAGAGGGACGCTCAAGTTGAGACGCTGCTGGTTGACAGACTTGCCAAGTTCCTCCAGAGCCACACACTGCAATTCAAGGTCCCTGATTCTGCAATCTCTGAAGTGAAGAAGACCCTCGATGAAGGTAAGTCTTTTCCTTGCTTCTCCATCTCGGCAGCCTAAAACCTTTAGACGAGCAACAGCGATAGACTGAGTTCCTTGGTATTTAGGCCGTAATCACCATACCCGGCTCACAGATACGAGGAAAGGTGAATGTGATTGGATAAGAATTAGCTGGGGAAACCGAAGTGCTTGAACAAAACCTGTCCGTGCCATAGGAAAGATTTTACTGACGTGTAATAAATTTGCAGATCGCCAGTTGTGTGTGTCTGATATAAGTGTACAGAAAATCCTATACGAGACTTCGGGTTTTCATTGACTGAGTACCAATATTACAGTTTTCTGTGACATGGCATTGTGTATTTTTATGTTGTGTGGGGTTACTTTACGGCAGAAAACATAGTGTCGGTAGCGTAGTTGGTTGAGACACTATGCTACAAGCCGGAAGGTTATTGGATTTTTCAATTGACCTATTCCTTCCAGCCACACTATGGCCCTGGGGTCGACTCACCCTCTAACAGAAATGACTACCAAGAATTTTCCTGTGGGTAAAGGGTGGCCGGCGCGTAAGCCTGACAACCTCACCGCCATCTGTGAGCTCACCGTAAAAAAAATATGGGAGCTTCGATGTCTTCCAACCCTATGGATCTCCAAGACCTGTTACAGGGATAGCTTTACCATGCCAAGAGGACGTATGGGGCAGTGGAGGTACAAGCCCACTATTCTTCACCTTGACAATTGCGGTAACCCTCTGAACTTGTATTCGGGAAGTGTTCACATCGAATATCGGTTGGGACGGAGACTTTAAGTGGGCTTCCTCAGTCTCTCTACGCAAATTCCGGTTTAGTCACAAGAAAATAAGGATTGAGATGACCCCGTGAACATGGGATTATTTCACGCGTGAGTATCACGCGGCTGGGATACAGATCCATTACTGTATGGTCCAGACGGGTTTACGTTCATGACACAAGTAAAACGAAATGGAGACAGCGACCTCGTTGTGCGCATGACACAACGGAAACTGGACTTGCTGTAGATGTGATTCATCACGCGATCATTCACGCATGAAACCGGAATAATGAAAGGCCGCAGCATCTCTGGCATACACTGGCATCATTTGGTCACGGGGAGTCGCTGTTACAGTTTGTTCTTGCATCACCCAAATCAGGATACTCGGACTGACAAGGAGAAAACCTTCTTTAGCATTCCAACCATCATAATCTCGTTCTTTTCTACATCCTTATCGTACTCATCTGCATTTTATCATCACATCATTTGATGATATTCTTTACCAGTATGTTCTTCAGCATCACATTAATATTCACAATCTTCACCTTGATTTTTATCTCTTTATCATCATTATCGCCATCATAATTATGATCTAGGTTTACCTCTTGAAGAGTACTGTTCTAGGATGTGCAGCCCTATAGTTATACGAAACCGACGTTTCGGAGTCGTGTAGTGCCTCCATCTTCACGGTCGAACAGTAATCATGATATCCAACCAGCAAGAAGCACGCAAAGAATATTGATGCCATATGTTCCTCCGAAACGTCGGTAAACTTATACCAGAGTACACGGCGTCACATCCCAGAAGAATCTTAAATCGGACGTTGAAACTGAGTGGTCAGTTTTCTGCTTGCTCGTTCCTTACCTACTGCATAATTAGGTTCACGTAACATTGACTCTCCGCAATTCGTTGCTGTCGTATTCCAAAATTGTGTAATTTTAAAGTTTTCATTTTACCGTTGAGTGATATTTTTTAAATACGTACTCGTATATAGTGGGGGTACGCGGTAGCGTAGTTGGTTGAGGGGCTATGCTACAAGCAGGAAGGTCGCGGGTTCAAATCCCGATGAGGTCATTGCATTTTTTTCAATTGACCTAATCCTTCCAGCCGCACTAGGCCCTGGGGTTTACTCAGCCTCTAACAAAAATGAGTACCAGGAATTAATTAAATAATTTTCCTGGGGAGTAAAGCGCGGCCGGCGCGTAAGGCTGACAACCTCACCGCCATCTTTGAGCCGATTGTCTAGGGAATGTGGGACCCTCAATGTCTCACAACCCTATGGGCCTTCACGGCCTGGTACAGGCTTTACTTTTACTTACTTTTATGTACATATAGTATATAAAGACTGGTGCTTTGAAGTGTTCCGAATGAAACCTGAACTTGCAAAACCACGTAACCATAACTGGAACCAGCATCCCTTGATGACCAGACATACCACGTCTGATATGAAATTAACACACTGATTGACGGCCGCTGGTTCGCTAATAAATTTGTTAAGCTGGACATAACAACACTTGTCAGACTTGTTTGAACAAACGAAACTTTCTTCTACAGGATTAGAACGAAGATGAGTTACACACGTGTTTTACTAGGCATTCTTCCTTTCGTTTGGTTAAACAAGCATAATGTTTCGGCAGCTGGTTCTGCTGCCATCATCAGGTGACAATATGAAAGCTATTCGTGAATCTTCGCGGATACAGATTGCCTCAATGTAATGGGCCCAGCAGACTATGACACTTTAAACTGACGGCGGTAGTGGAGACAGAATCCGAAACATTGTGTTTCTTTAATCAAAATGAGACAATTTAAATGTCAAACATATCACTTTTAAAATTTGTTCTGTTATAATAATTTTAAGTGGATCCCTTGTCGCCAAGGTACCGCGCGTTTTCATGTTGCGGATGGAGGAGATGGCCTCCAGATATGGAGGGCAGCTGCGAATATACTGAATAAGCAATCGCGAACAGCCAACAAAGGGTAGTCCTCAAGTTGGGTGTTGGGTGTGGAGCTAAAAACTTCTCATTGTAAAAAAAAATATGTTTGTTACGAAATGTTATAAAGCACCTTGGATATGAACGCATTCTTTCGATGAAGGACCGAAGTTAAGGACTTAGATGGGAGGGTAATTATAAAAGGTTAATCATCTCCGTCCAGTGTGACTGATAAAATGTTTCTTCCTTCTTTCTTCTTTAATCTTTCATTCTTGACATGATTCGGTCTTAGAGATCATCTTCAGAAGGATATATCAAAACGGGAGGAAACTGCTGTTATGTTTGGTCGATATCAATACATACATACAAACATACAATATCATCACAATGCCATGAATATAAACTACTGTATTGTCCTTTAACAGTCACAGCGACCTGCATGAATATATTAAAATATTTATAAATTATTACAATTAATCTGTTTACAAGTGTGGTTTAAAAAACTTTGTTAAAATTTATAACCAATTTGGTTCTTGTCCTACTGCCTCCCTTTAAAGGAAGTTCAGTGTCTAGCACCTCGTTGTTCGGGATGCACCGTGTTGTTATACCAAATCAAATTTATCGAAGCTGCGAGGATAATATTAAAATTGATATTAGGAGATAGGATGGTGTGGTATGGACTGGATTGATCTCGCTGAGGATAGGGACCAGTGGTGGGTGTTTGTGAACATGGTTATGAATCTTCAGGTTCCATTAAATGTTGGGAAATTCTTGAGTGACTGAGCGACAGGAGGCTTCTCAAGAAGGGCTCACTTCCATAGAGTTAGTTTATTACCATGGTAACACATAATATTTACAGGTCAAGGGGTCACACAAGTAGCTGTAACTGTTGTGGGATGTCAGATTCAGTTAATACCAAGAGGAATTAAACTGAATTCGATATTCTGCTCGAAACCGACGCGTGGTCCGACTCTAGCGTCCGTCTCGTTAAGCAATTCCGCACAGGTGTAATAACTTTCCGATCTGGAACGAAGCAACCGGTTCTCCACAGAACTTGTAGACTACTGACTTCATTTCAGACCATAAAATCAGTTCAACGGACAATTTTAACCCTAAATTAAAACCATAAATAAAAAAAAATTCACAACCGGGTATTAAGATACATTCTGACGACTAATTAAGGAATAAAATTGTTTTTAAATGAAACATATTTCAGTTGTTTGCTTGAGTTGGTATAACTGGCTCATGAACTGGATTATCAGGAGATCGGAGTTCGATATCCGAAGGAGGCACAGGTTCTTCTCCTCCTCTAGGTACCACCCAGCCTCCTGTCCAATGGGTCCTGTGGGTCCATTCCTAGGCTGGGGCGTGAAGCTCACCACTAACCTCCACCTAGTTCCCTGGATAAGAATCTCCACAGTGCGGTGCTTAATTACGCACAGGGACTTAATGTCTAACACCCACAGAACACTCGTCACTTAATCACATCTGAATTTTCTTATGTGCCTTTATCTTACGTGAGTTTTTATAATATATATAATTTCGTGATTTGAGGCTTTCACAGCAATGAAATTATATGTTTTAGTCTTTTAGGTTATGACATCAGTGATCTGGTAGGTTACCACGAACACCTGACATCCGTCTGTAAAGGTTACAAACATATACCATGAAGATGGAGGCAGAACGTACCCCCGAAATCACATCACGAAGCTTCCTAACCCAGATGAAAATAGTCTTAATTTTTCACGGCCGTGAAAACTTGTTTCTGGAATATAACGGCGTTTAGTATGATGTATGTCAACTGACGTTTCGGAGGAATATATTGCCTCCAACTTCAAGGTGGAAGAAAAAACAAAAAAAAAAGACACTAGAAGAAAACAGGATTGCTTCAAGTACATTTCTTGCTTGGTTCACTTCTCGACTCTCAAGATACAGGTGGTATATTATTAAGAAATGTCGGTGAACTTATTAATGGATTACACGCCTTCATATCCCAAAGACGGCATTCTGCTGAGTCGTGTTATTACGGTGTTAAAAGAGGAAAATTGTGGTCTGGTAGACGTTTTAAAACTAACACAATACCCAAAACAAAATTCGTTTTCAGATGCATTTGTTTTGTCTCCTTCTTTATATAACCATTATACTGACAACTTTCATCTTCTATTGAGTACAGTGAATCGCTTTGATCTGCGCCTGTAGCAAAAACGTACAATAGTCAAACAAAAAGAAACAACAAGAAAGGTAAAAAAAGTAACTCTACTAGACCTTGAATACAAGTAGTGAAATTTGCAATCCCTTTCGTTAAAACCGTCACTGTACAAATACGAATGAAATAAAAAAAAAGTGACATGTTGAATGAATAGAATGGCTTTTGAAAGAACAAGTGGTCTTAAACCACCACGCCTACACATAAGATTCCTTTCTATTATTTGTAAAGTAAGAAAAAAGTTGTACTGTGTTTGATCCATGACCTAGACCACTGAGAGATCCTTTGAAAATGTGGCACAGTTCAAATATTTGGAAACGACGTTAACAAATCATAATTCTGTATGTATTTCTCGCTTCCCTTATAGCTCGTTTTCTCTAAAACAATTATTTAATAACCCAAATAATGTTACAAAAATACTGCAAGTTATAAAGTTCTTCAGTACTTTGTAGTGTGGCAGATTTCTCAATGCTATGAGAACCTCAAATGTCACTGACCTTATCATTACAATTCAGATATGCTGCGACCTCCTTCGTGTTCAGGTAACGTATAAAACAAATCCACGCGAGGCCCATTGCGCATCAGGTTGAACTGCTTCAATAGACGCCTTCTACGTGTATTTCCACCCTCATCACTCTTCCTGTTGATCTCGTTTGGCAACTGAAGGGGAACTTTGGGGGGGGGGGGGGGTTGAAGCCCATAATTGATATTTTTCACAGCTCATTCAACTTCATGTTTATCGTTGTGGTTCACTTTATGATGTTCTCATTATAAGATGCTGTCGTGCTGCCGTAAGCCAGTCGAAATTTCCCCACACATTCCAAGAACGTTTGCGGCGTCATAAATTGAACATCCTGTATATAAAGTTAGATGGATGACCGATGGTTGCTTAATTTGAGATAATATTCCGGCATCTGCTGGAGAGACTACGGAAAACAACGAAAGCCTTCAGCCACGATAGCCGGGTTCAAAACTGAATACCTTCTGAATACAAATCTAGAGCATTACTGCTTCGTCAACTCGCTCAGCTGGCTTCATGTTGATCTCTGAAGATACGGATTTGTTAATACAGACACCATATAGCACAATACAACACTAAAGGTAAAGCTATCTCTGTAACAGGTCGTCGAGTCCCATAGGGTTGTGAGACGTTGAGGCTCCCACATTCTCTAGACAATCGGCTCACAGATGGCGGTGAGGTTGTCAGCTTTATGCACCGGCCGTCCTTTACACCCACGCCCCCAGGAAGATTCCTCGTAACCATAGTGCGGCTGGAAGGATTAGGTTAATTTAAAAATCCAGCATTTTATGGAACCAGAAGGTTCAATACCGTGTTCACAAGAACCCGCAACTGGCCCCTATCCTAAGCTGAATGAATCCAATCTTACACCCCCCAACCCTACGCCTTTAACATTTACTTTAATATTATCCTTTCATCCAAACACAGCTCCTCCAAGTTCAGAAATATACAAATAAATCAAACGCAAATAATATACCAATTGCAAGACAGCAGTGTGTTTAATACTACTGTTAAAGTATTTTTACGGGTGTGGAACTTGGTCTCTGACATTAAGAGAGGAACATAGATTGAGGGTGTTTCAGAACAGGGTGCTGAGGAGAATATTTGAACCGAATAGATGAAGTGACAGGAGGTTGGAGAAAACTGAATAATGAGCTTCATAACTTGCGCTTTTGACCAAGTATAATTAGAATAATGTACTCAAGGAGGGTGAGATGGACAGGGCATGTAGCACAAATGTGGTGAAGATGAATGCATATAGGATATTAGTGGAAGGGCCAGGAGGGAAGAGACCACTAGGATGACAAAAACGTAGATAGGTGGGCAATATTAAAATGGATCTTAGAGAGATGGGAATGGATGGTATGGATTGGATTGATCTGGCTCAGGATAGGTACCAGTGCAGGGCTCTTGTGAACATGGTGATGAACCTTCGGGTTCCATGAAATATTAGGAAGTTCTTGAGTAGCTGCACAACTGGCTCAGCTCCATGAAGTTAGTTTAGTTAATATACCTCATTATAAGCCACATCGTTCTCCGAACTTCACCAACTGAATTTTACTGTTTCAGCAAGAGGGAAGAGGAAGAAGCTGAAGATGTTGCTACCTCTGCTTCTGCTGTTCAAGCTGAAGGCTGCTGCTTTGATTCCCCTGGCACTGGGTGGCCTGGCACTGCTTGCCCTGAAGGCTCTGCTTGTGGGTAAACTCGCCCTTCTGCTGGCTGGCATCATCGGGTTGCAGAAACTACTGGGCAACAAGCAGAACACCCAAACCTACGAAGTAGTGGCACATCCCCACTACACACACAGTTCTTACGGTGATGAGCACGGACATGGCCACTACGCCAGGGCCCTTCCCGACACTGAAAACAATGACCCACATCAACTCGCCTATCGGGCGTATTCTGCGAACACCAAACAAGAATAATCCAGTTATATTGTGGTTTAAAATATAAAATACTCAAATACTGCTTCCACATCGATTTAATTGACGTCAAGACGATGATAAGAATATTTATTTAGAAGCCACTATTAGGCTTAATCCAATCTTTTATATTTGGCAAATATAGCTGTCGTTTGTTTGTATATAAATGAACGTTACAGAGATAGTCATGCAAAAGAAAATTGTAATATCATTTACCACTAATATTGTTTTTATAACAGATGGTATTAGTAGAGTAATTCAATTCGCAATTTTATGAAAAGGCAGTGAAAAGACATCAAGGATAATTTCAACATTTACTACCTCTTTCACGCCAAATAGTTATAACCAGAGCTGACCTTACTGCAGACTGAACTAAATACTTTATTCAGGAAAAAACAGACATTTATATTTATATGAAGTATACACCAAAGAAAACAAAGATACGAGTTCATTTAGTGACTATATTTAATGTATATGTTGACTCTAAAAATATCACATCCACGTGTTTCTAAACTCTATGACGTTTTACTGACTGTTCATATGACCTTTTGCTTCTTAAGTTCCCATGGAAAATCAAAGAGTCTCTGTTACTGAACACCACAAACATCTGAACGTAAGGGTAGAAAATTTCTTCCCAGTGAGTATTATAGTCTCTAAACGAGATATGCCGTTTAAGGCACTGTAAGTGTTAAATCGATCATAGCTGCATCTGTACAAATTAATACGTTGTAAAATTGTTCATTTCTTGTAAACCAAGTTGAATATCGACACGGAAAACGAGATTAAGGACAAACAAATGAAAATCTTCACGAACTTCTTTCGGTTTTTTGACTTAATGAAGTGACGGAACTTATACAAGTTACATATAACTGACTGTTTTGTTGCTACTTCGAATAGAACCCACCGCTTTTAAATAATAATTAACAATAAATTGAAGCTACTTATTATTTTCTTCGTCACTACGAAAATTAAGTCTTGGGGCATAAAATAAATCTCCATCAGCAAGTACAAAGATATTATTAATGATGAAATATAGATTCAGAACTTCACTGATGCCATTTATCAGCACTTGGACTATTGAGTAGTATGCTCATCACTTGACATAACAAAGGACACGCTTTCAGACCACCTGACTTGAGCTGAGCTGAGCTGAGACATCACAGACGACTCCAAGTAACAGACATCAAAGTGACGGCCAATACTCTTTCTGACAAAGGTCAAAACCTTCACCAATCAGAACTAAACAAAATAAAAATATTTATAATTATTAATTTGATTACTTTTGGAATACATTTGTACTTTCCAAACTTAAGTTAATTATTTAATCATTTAAATGTTATTGAATAAAATTTGATTTTTAGTAAGCTGTAAGTGTATTTATTTAAAAAAATGACCCATGAATATTTAAACGCTCTATATTATTTGCTATGATTGGCTGAATATACAGTTCAAGTGGTGGAAAATCGAAATAATATGAAATTAGAGCATTAAGGTGGATGTTAAAGGAGAATACAAGTGGTTCAAGATCCTGTCATATGGTGGACATTAATGTTAGCGTTAATTAATCTTCGGGTTCGACTACCAGAGAGATAATTAATACGAGTATAAAAGAATCGTAACATAAATTGAGGTTATCACAGCAGTGAGTATGACAAGGACAGTATTCTGGGTTGTAACTTCGTACAGACTGGAAAAAAGCCGACGTTTCAGTCCATCTTCAGGACTGAGAAGTTCAAGCAAGAAAATAGAAGGGGCAGGGGGCATGCAGAGTCCGTATAGCATGTTTCTGCTAGTTTGTCCCTTGGATTGCTTTCGATCCTGAAGATAGCGGCTATATCTTCCTCCGAAACACCGGCCTCTCCAGAACTATACGATGTTACAAGCTAGATGACAGTCTTCTTCGTAACAGAGTTTTAAATTGAACATCTGTGTGTAGTAATACTGGACGGGTGTTGTAGTGGGTAGCGTACTAGCCTAGTAGTGAAAGATTCCGGGTTCGACCCCCAGCAATCACCGGTAATATTATAACATAATAAAAGTTAATATAATGAAAAATAATCACGTGAAGAGGGCAACAGGGAAAAATTCTGAACAGTCATGTAAGTTTACTTCAAATATACCACAGACAACGGACCGCCAGCCAAGAAATTAATGACGACTAACGAAACGATAACCGCTGTCAAAATTTTTCAGAATTATCTGTCACATATAAAACAAGTAAAAGTAAAGCTATCCCTGTACCAGGCCGTGAAGGCCCATAGGGTTGTGAGACGTTGAGGGTTCCACATTATCTAGATAATCGGCTCACAGATTGAGGTAAGGTTGTCAGCCTTACGCGCCGGCCGCGCTTTACTCCCCAGGAAAATTATTTAATCAATTCCTGGTACTCATTTCTGTTAGAGGCTGAGTAAACCCCAGGGCCTAGTGCGGCTGGAAGGATTAGGTCAACTGAAAAAAATCCAATGACCTCATCGGCATTATCTGTCACATATAATACTATATTCAAAATATTATAAGCAATTAAAGTAGTATTGACATTAACAATGGTGAAGATACACCTCCACTATCCCATACACCTTCATGCCGCGATGCTTAAAGAATTAAGCATAGCGGCAACGTTACTTCTACTTTATCTTTTACAAGCCTATGACAATTCTAACATAGATAATATTCAATATTCTACACCCAGAATGTAAATTTAAAGAGATTATACAAGTGTCGAATTAAGAACTGTAGAGCTCTCCCTCCACTTTACCATACGTCTTTATGGCGTGGTGCTTAATTAAAGAACTAATTA